ATCAAGATGTTCAGCTCACCATGGAGTGAAATGTTGGTGACGTCAAGATTACCGGTTGTTAAAAAAGGTTTGGGAGGATTGATAGTGTCGTCACAAGTTATGAGAAATGTATCGTCATAGTAGCAGCCCGGCTCTGTGCCAAATGGATATGGGATGCTAACGTTGCCACAGCTGTCTTGGCAACCTGGTTTGGCTTGACCACTTGCTACTGGAGTGACCAGCACAAACATTCTTAGCAAATTCATGGGGGGGACTCTTTGTTTGTCAGTCTAGATGAGATAGTTTCACAATTTTTAACACCACGATCGTAACCGATACCGCAATTACGAGCCATAGACTATCTCAAGGCTTACGCTCCACTAGGGGTGACAATTCGTGTTTGTGGGTCATAATCGTGTCGTGTCAATATAAGAATATTATACTAAATAGGTAAATCCAAACCCAACGCATTTAATAATCGTGTCAAGAACTCTCAACATTAACTCAACCCGTTTATTAAACGAGTAAACATGTTACTCCATTTAATGACTTGTTTATCAAAATTAGACATTTAATATTTAATCAAATAATAAATAATAATAAAAAATTGTCATATTTAATCTAAATAATGAAAATATGAATGAAAAATTATAAGGCATAGACAAGATTTATGTTGGAATGACTTAATTATTTATAATAATTGAATTTAAACAATTAACATATTACATATGTTATATTTACGATTATAACATGTTGAGTTAAATCTCTTAATCTTAACTCGATATGATTAAATAAACGGGTTAATTGTGTCAACCCGTTTATGATCCAAATTCATTTAAAGTCAATCAAAATTCGCTTATTTCGTGTCATATTAACAAATAGTGTCGTAATTTGCCACCAATATGCTCCACATGTCTTTGAGTCCACCCTTCCAAATTTCCATAGGTCTTCGAGTCCACCATTCCAAATTTCCACAGGTCTATTAATGTAATAACATCTACATCTATTCCTTGAAGACTCTCATTCCATGTGCCTACCGAGTCCTCCTCTCCCATGCCTGTGACACTTCTGTTAGATTGTTAAATGAGTGAACCTCATTTGTAAGGCTCACATCAATCACACTCTTCTCGTAGCTTTGCATGATAAGTTTCAAAACTGCCAACTGGTAAATGCAAGTCAATAAAAATGCAAATATATGAAACATGTATACCTTTCCCACCCTTGCCATGTCAAATGAATTCATTGCCGTGTGTGTTTTAATTTTTGCCCATAGTTAGTAAAATATGGTACGAAAAACAGACAGATACGAACACGTGTGAGCATAATTATATTATTTTTTTTAAAAAAAAATACGTTTCAAAAATTCAGGCAAAAATAAAAACAGAAACGTAAAAATATGAATACGGATACGCATGTGTATAATACATTATATGCACTAAAATTCAGGATAAAAAATTATGCTATAAACATCGTATTATTTTCTTATGTATCATCATATATTTGTAAGGATAATAAATAATATGTAACAAATAATAAAATAAATATATTCCAATAGACACTATTATAATAATCATAAAAGAAAATAAACTATCTAAATATAATTAATCAATAACCCCAAGAACATAACATATGTATTTATAATAAATACATAGGTATATAGTGTGATATTTGTGAGTTGTGAAAATATCTTTATATTCTATTAAATCATCCAATGAGTGTGGTGATCTACAAATTTCAAAAAATTAAAAATAATATATATATATATATATATATATATATATATATATATATATATATATATAGTGCATTGGAGTGACAATGATGATAGATTTAGAAAGAAAAAAAAATAAAATAAAGTAATAACCTACTAGAACCACTGAGTGTATTGTTTTGAAAGTACAGCTAATGTGAAAGAGAATGACTATACTAAAAGATGTAGTTTGTGTATATTTTATTGTATTTTTTTAAATTCTTAACGATAAATGAAAGTATTTTTTAAAAGTTTGTACGCATATAATTTGCATATGATACACGAATTTACCACATTGTTTTTCTGGCAACTTCATAATACAGCTGGCATTAGGAGGTCGATTTTGCTATTTTGTGAAACTTCCTCAGCTATGAACAGACTTGGGTTTCTTGTTCATTGACTAGGGGCATAATTATTTTCCTGATGTAGAATCTCAAATTTGAGAGATGATATTGCAACTTTGTCTGATGATATGACAACTAGAGAGAAAAAATAGGAAAGGTATAATTTTTTTAATTATGTACATGTGTGAATAATTAAAAATACGATCTATTAAAAAAACATTCATTGGGGCGATTTGGTAGAGTCTTTGTGCTAGAAACACACACGGAAGAATAAAAAGGAAAGGACAAAAAACAGGAAAAGAAAAATATTTGTGTTGACCAAATCAAGGACATTTACATTGGTCCAGGGGAGAGGCTTGGCCCTGTATCAAATAGACTATATTTTTCGAACATTTTGTCAATATTTAAATTGACACTATTTAACATATTTAACATAAGTTTAACAGATAATTTTGAAGTAATAAGAACACAATACAACATGTATGTTAGGATGTCTTGAAAAAAAATAAAATGATTTAAACATAATATAAGTGTCATTCCAATTAATTCATTAAATATATTTTTTTTAGTAAATCAATTCATTAAAATTTTCTCTCTTCAGATCAACTATGGTACATGTAAAATTGTATATTTATGTCTTCAAATGAACCATATTAATTAGTTGGACTAAGAAACAGTGAAAACGTCAAACTTGCTCCTATAATTGTCACTTTACCTCTAGAACTTAGAATAATTAAAATATATCGAAGAGAAAAGTATTTGGTCGCAGCTTACCTATTCTTAGAGACCCAAAATCTTTTCCATTCAAATTTGATCTTTACTATTCAAATTTGATGTGATATGGCAACTAGAGAGAAAAAAATACAAAAACTATAATTCTCTCAATTATCCACATGTGTGAATAATTAAAAATACAATCCATAAAAAAATTCATTGGGGCGATTTGGTAGAGCCTTTGTGCTAGAAGCACACACGGACGAAAAAAAAAAAAAAAAAAATTTGTGTTGACCAAATGAAGGAAGGACATTGGTCCAGAGCGGAGAGGCTTGGCCAGGCATCAAATAGACTATATTTTTCGGACACACTTCGTTAACACTTTTTCGGACACTTTGTCAATACTTAAATTGACACTATTTAACATTCTAACATAAAATTGCATTTATGTCTTCAAATGAACCATATTAATTAGTTGGACTAAGAAACAATGAATGAAAACGCCCTCTGGACAAATCAAACTTGCTCTTATAACTGTAATTTTACTTCTAGAACTTAGAATAATTAAAGTATATCAAAGAGAAAAGTATTTGGTCGCAGCTTACTTATCCTTACAGACTCAAGATCTTTTCCATTCAAATTCGATCTTTTCTATTCAAATTCAATGTGATACAGCAACTAGAGAGAAAAATTAGGAAAGCTATAATTCTCTCAATTATCTGCGTGTGTGAATAATTAAAAATACAATCTACAAAAAAAAAAAATTCATTTGGCCGATTTGGTAGAGCCCTTGTGCTAGAAACACACAGAAGAATAAAAAGGGGGAAAAAAACACAGGAAAAGAAAAATATTTGTGTTGACAAAATCAAAGGACATTGGTCCAGAGCGGAGATTCTTGGCCCTGTTATAGACCCAGGATGAGATCCATCAGGCCGTCCACCGATTGACGGGTCCGTTCTGTTGTTCCTAAATTTGACAAGCCCAGACCTAGCTCTAGGGAAACGTTAGATGGCGAGTTGGCGGGCCATGTTGGCAGGCCATTCTGGTGGGCTGTCGGGAGGCCAGGTCATTGGACGGTCCTGCCCGTCTCCCGTAGAGAACGTGGGCCCGGGTCTACTAACTGGATTGACTTCGCGGGGAGGTCCGTAACCTATCTGTGAGTCTGACTCCGATGAGCAAACAATAAGTCGAAGGTGCAAGCCGGGTCCGATTTAATTGGTCAACTCACCAGGTCTAATTCTGGGATTAATTAGCTTAAATTTAGGTCTAATCCAATCAAGTTTAAATTAGACTCTAATACAACAAAAATGGCATCACCATCATAATTATTCTTCTAGTAGGTTAGAGTCTTAGACACATGAATTATCTTTTGTTATTTTACGATTTTTTATTTTTTCTATTGCAAATTATTTTTTCCTATAATAATTGACTTTTTAAAATCGTTTTTAATGATTTTATCCAATTCTTCCATATAAATTAGTCTCTCTTTTTACCTAAAACATTTATAGATCTTCTAATTTGTGTTCATACCACATTAGGCTATTTTATTTCATCTTATCACTAACACGTTTTAGTTATTACTTAATTAACCACTACCACCCTCTATATGCACTATATTAAGAGATATGTGTTTGTGTGCGTGATCATATGATAAAGAATAATTTTGGGATACATGTGTAACAACTTAATTCAACAAATTACATCGAGAATTGATTTACTGAATTCACTTTTGAAATAAATTTTTGGCATCAACACATTATTTTGAGATGTCAATATCAATTGTTGAACTCAAAATAAATGTTCAACTTGTAATTTGTTAGCATTATGGCACCATGTTACTCATAAAATATTTAAGTTGTTAAACATACTAAGAGGATCCAAACTCACTATGTGTTTTTCCTTGCGAAACAAAGAGTCAATGACACATAAGAAAAACATATCAACACATCTGCCCAACAATTCCACAATTACTTAGAAAACACACACAAACATACCAAAGAAAAAAGGGGAAAAATAAATTTCTACACATAAAGAGAAGAGAGTGCAAATCAAAATTTTGAAGTCGTTGCGAGTAGATAACTACACAGATACACATCTTTTATGCTCGTTAGGTATAGCAAAATAGGATATCACTAGACACTCCAGTCACTGGAAAGGGCACAGTCACAGTATACACTTTCAATGATGACGCATATACACAATTGACAAAACAGTCACCTCCCACCATCTAATGGCAGAACAATATGCCCTCTCGTGCTATCATACTCACCTATTGTCTTATGCGCAACTCCAAATCCATAAGAGTCCGACGTGTCACCTAGCAGGTACTCAGTTTCTTCATAATTTAATTCATCATTAACCCATGGATGTTTCTCCATCTTTCTTAGTCCCTCCAGTTCCATTGCTACTTCTTTCATACTAGGTCTTTCCTCCCCATTTACTCGTAAACACCTCTTTGCAAGAACAGCAACCTCTTTGAGCTGCTCAGTATTTCCTTCATAAACAATACTGTGGTCAAGAACTTCAAACAAACGATCTTCTTTCAACGCAAAAAGAAAATAAATAGCTAGATTTCTCTCCTCCTCTGGCCTATCAAATGAGACTGCCTTCCTTCCTGTTAGCAATTCCACAAGGACAACCCCAAAGCTATAAACATCGCTTTTCTCAGTCAATTGACTTGTTTGCAAATACTCAGGGTCCAAGTATCCAAGAGTTCCTTGCACCAATGTGGATAACTGCATTTGATCAAGGGGAACTAACCTTGATGCTCCAAAATCAGACACTTTTGCAGTGTAATTGTCATCTAAGAGTATGTTTGTAGGCTTGACATCTCTATGGATGATAGGAATCGAAGCCGCAGAATGCAAATAAGACAGCACTCCGGCAGTTTCAGCTGCTATCCTTAGACGAGTTTGGCAGGAAAGTGAAGACGTCTTCCTTTCATTATGTATGTGGTCATGGAGAGTTCCGTTTGTGATGAACTCATAAACTAATAAAGGGACTTCTGTTTCTAAACAACAACCCAAAAGCTTGACCACATTTCTGTGATTGATTTGGGAGAGTACAATCACCTCATTGATGAATTGTTCTATTTGGGTTTGATCTACTAATTTGGACTTTTTGATGGCTACTACTCTGTTATCTGTTAAAGTTCCTTTGAAAACTGTACCATAACCTCCTCGTCCTACAATCCTGTCATCACTGTAGTTGTCAGTGGCCTTTTTAAGCTCTTCGGCTGTGAAAATTGTTGCTGTTTCGGTGGATCCTTCCCGTCTAGAGAGTTGCTGTTGCAACATTAAACCACCATTTTGCTGAAAGAACTTCTCTTTGAGCCTAATGAGCTTTCTTTTCTTGAGTCCCAAGTACAACCAAGTGAAACCCACAAGTAGAACAGCAACACTTATTGAGATACCTGCATTTAAAATATTGAAAATTCATTATTGTAAAGAATTATCAGACTTCTATTTGGTTAAGTCATTGATTGTCCAGAACTTGGAACATTTCAGAGAACTGCAAATCAGAAGAAAAATGTATGTCACACTAATCCTAACAAATAGTGGATTAAGCACACAAGTCTCTCGCTTTGGTGAAGAAACATTATGACTAAGATAAATTCCTTTGTACTGTTAATTTTGGAAGTAAAGTTGGAACACTGTTCTACAATTTGACTCAGAAAAACAATCTAGGCATATATGCTTGAATCTTAGCTACTCTTGATCATTTTTTAAATTTTACTCTTGACCATTGCATAGATAACTTCCCTTAATACGAACGTATGACTGAAATTTTTTTGCAAAATTTGAAATGTAGTGATGAAAAACAGTTAATTTGTTTTCCTCTTAACTCCAATTGCTACATAAATATATTTTGAAACTCGTGAGTGTTAGCTTATGATGACTTGTCAGCACATGACTTTCCAATGGACACAACTTGTCAGCATCAAAAAAACTCTCCACAAAATAATTTGGAGAAGTTATTGTATATTAACTCCCAAGTTGTCCTCCCATGTCTTTCAGACGGTGGTCACCGTGCAAAATAGCCAGAATAAACGATTTTATTACCTTCACACGATCACAACCTTGATTGTCCCTATTGTTTTTATTTTAAACGATTAAGGTACACGTTTTTTTCATTCGATTTGCTCTGACATTAGAATTGCAGTTAATGGGAACAAGTAAAATAAGACTACAAATTTTACTAGTTAGATTTTGAAACGTTTTTATATTTTATATTTAGGGCATTAAGCTCAGATACTTACCCAGAACAATCTTAATTACCAGTAGTTGATCAGCAGTGCAGCCAGTTCCATTTTTTCTGCCATCTCCATGATACCCCTTGGGACAAGAACACGTGTAATTCCCGGCTGTATTGTCACAAATTTTTTCACAATCATTGAGTGTTTGATCATGACATTCATTGATATCTGCAGGACAACAGAAGAAAAGTGAATCATCACAGAAATTACTATAGGTAATATAATGAAAAGGAATGAACATATATGTATATGTATATATATATATATATATACCCAACAATGACTGTTATAGATACAAGTATACAACATACCTTGGCAACCATTAGGAAGGTATGGGTTTCCATAGTAACCCTCCGAGCAATTGCAACGGTACCCAGAACCATAATCAACTTCATAACAGTTGCTATTATCTTTACATGCGTATCCAGAGGAGTTTCTAGCAACTTCACACGTCTCATTTCCGATTGACCAATCGAGAACCACTAGAAGCTTTTCTACATTCTTTAAATCACTAAGATAGTCCGAGGAGAAGTTGAACTTATCCTCTTCAACAACAAAGGCATAACTACAGGGGCTGAAATTCCACACACTTGTATGATTGGAAAAGCTATCCAATGTCACTTCATAATATCTTACTCCTTTTGGAATCAATGTTTGACAACAACCAATTCCAGAACAAGACCAGTTGGTAACATAGTCCAAGCTGTCACAAATGGACATGCACCCACTCGCATATTTCCTCTCACCTTGGTAAGCTTGAATGGTCGCGTAAGTGTCGCAACCAATTGCTATGAACTTGTTTTTGGTACTGGAAATACTGAATTTGGACAAACTGAGCCAGGGTACGTTATGTGAGATCTGTCTACCCGACTGCGTGTAGCAGTCATAGGCTATATATTGCAAGATTTGCAGCTGACCATGGAGTGAAATGTTGGTGACATCAATACTACTATTTGTTAGGAAAGGCTTGGGAGGATTGGAAATGTTGTTACAAGTTATGAGAAATTCATGACTATAGTAACAGCCTGGCTCTGTGCCGAATGGATATGGGATACTAACGTTGCCACAGCTGTCTTGGCAACCCTGCTTGGCTTGAGCGCTTGTTGGTGCTGCCATGCCTGCTAAAACGACTCCCACCAGGGTGAGTTTCAAAAGCATTTTTCTCAAGTCCATGGGGCTTTATTTTTCAGATCAGATGATATGTTCTGCTGAACACTTCCAATGTTGGTCATCTTATAGAGTTGTTCAGTGGAAGACCAATTCAATGCACTGTGATAAAAAAAAAAAAAAAAAACTATATGGTACTTGATGGTACAGGACAATTACAAGCTCCTATGCAGATAAGAGTTGCATTATGATTTGAGAGCTCTGACTTTTTTTATCTTACAGACTTTTGAAAATGAAAGGAGACATAACGACCATTTAATATATATATATATATATATATATATATATATGAGAATGAGAAATGTTGGTCCATGGGGCTTTATTTTTCAGATCAGATGATATGTTCTGCTGAACACTTCCAATGTTGGTCATCTTATAGAGTTGTTCAGTGGAAGACCAATTCAATGCACTGTGATAAAAAAATAAAAAAAAAACTATATGGTACTTGATGGTACAGGACAATTACAAGCTCCTATGTAGATAAGAGTTGCATTATGATTTGAGAGCTCTGACTTTTTTTATCTTACAGAGTTTTGAAAATGAAAGGAGAAATAACGACCATTTAATATATATATATATATATATGAGAATGAGAAATGGTCCTGGTGATCTGTGTGTGAAATGCTCAATATTTTTTTGCATGTCTTCTTCTGTCATTTTCTTTTCACTCCAATTTATTTATTTATTTATTTTTTCATTAACCAAAAACTCACACTCATTTATTCATAAGGAGAAAATAACACTCATAAATTACAGAGGACAATTATAGGGGCCACTACAGTAAAAGATCCCGACTCTGTCTCATCTAAAAATTAGTTTTTAGAAGTTGACACTTAACAACTTCTTCCCCATTAATCAATTAATGATCAGCGAAATTAAATTAGATTAAGTTAATTTAGTATAAGCGCATGTTGGTACACTTTGCAAATTGCAACAACAATAATTAAAAAAAAACTACAACGATTGTGACACCACTTGAAACTTGAAAGTGATTGCCTCGTCACTTGAAATTATCAACCAGAACACAATTATGCAATTGGCAATTTGGATTAAACAAAATTAACAAATACTGTAATTAGTTTCTGTGTAGTAAGTACCAACAGGGTGATTGCCTCACCACGTACTTGATGAATCTCAACTCCCCATCGATGTGATTGAACAACTACTTTTCATACCTGCACTTAAAAGACATTTACATATTGGGAAAGACTCGGTTTATAAAGCAACTCAAGGAGCTTATAATAATAATATTTTCGAATCGATGTGAATTTTAACAAGTCTACTAGGAATCAAGGTTTGTTAGGTGGGGGATATGGATCCTTCAATAAAATTAGCCAATTTATTTCTTTGATCAAATATGACTCTACTCCCCAAACTCCAATCAATTTAGTGGTTAATATAATATTTTCATGCCTTTGATCAAATATGGCTTTACTCCCCAAACTCTAATCAATTTATTGGTTAATATAATATTTTCATGACTTGTCTGATGATGAAGAAGAAGCTGTCTCTTTTAGCCGGTTTATTTATTTATTTTTAGAGCATTTGTATCGGCTCCATAACGTACGTACCATTCAAGTCAGAAATGCAATTCAAAAACGAGACCTCAAAAATTTACCTCCCAAATTTCTATTAAAAACTCTTGTAGGCAATTTATTTATTTAACTCTCTCTCTCTCTCTCTCTCTCTATATATATATATAAGGAAATTACAGAGGACAAAACATAACAAAATATTGATAAAGTTAATAAAGACACTTTTAATTCTTATTTGTCACATAACAAATTGATATTATTATCCTTTGTCTTGATGAAAAAATTAAATAACAATTACAAGTTATTTTATTAGACTAATCTAAAAAAATTCCTGACTCAGTCCTATCTGAGAAAATCATATAACCGAAAACACCACCCTCACCGCATTACCGCCTATTCTCTAAGACTCTGTCGTCAACTCTTCACTCTTCTCTGGACGCCTTAAGAAAGTTCATTGAGAAGGGGTTAGGGAGAGTGTGTGTGTGAGAGATGAAATGAATGGATAGGTGAGATCTACCGCCCATATGTGACTGTATTGATTGAAGGACAAAAAAGTCCTTTTAAAGAGTTCGATATTTTATGACTAAAATCAATTAAATTTTAAAAGGTGATATCATCTTGTTTCATATTTTTAGGGATGTTTGGCTACAATTTCTCACATCACATCACATGGATGTCATTGTTGAAAGGGCATGTGAGTGTAATTTACGTATAAATTTAAGTGCGGCAATACAAAGTGCTTTCCTTGAAATCTTTTCTAACCGTTAGATTACTGAAGGTGTAAATCTTTTGATGAACCCTCAATTAGCCAATAAAATCTATATTCAAACTCAGATACCAAGCGCCTGTTCATTGTTTCTCCAATCGCTCTCCGGTGTCTTGCTTGAGTCTTTGACGGAAAGTGCTCGACGTCTCCGGCTGAAATACGACAATGGCGACAACTTCGGATGCTTCTAATCGGCTACCAATACACAGGTACATCTTCTGTAACTCCCATTAACTATGTTAGTAACCCTTATTTTAGATGAATTCAGGGTCTATTGAATAAGATCGATTTGTTTAGTATCGTAGAAGCTCTTACTAACGACTATCTAATAAAATTACCTACCACCGAGGTTTCCTAAAATTTTAATCTTTGATTTGGCCATTAAATTTTACTGTTTTTTTTTTTTTTTTTTGTTAAAATAATTGATTTGATTTTATTTAGCAATTTTCTTCTACTTTTTTTATTATTTGGTTAGATTTTTGCCGCACTTCTTGATTAACATAACATTGATGTTCCTGTCATAGTTAAGGTAATATCTAACAATTGGGTTTTACTGAAAAGGAGCTTTATTTGTATGTAAAAGTATACTTTGTTGGAATTTTGTAGTTCCTGGTTGATACTACATGGTCCATTTGTGGTTTATAATATTGGGTGTCCATTGTTTTTATTATAGTTTGAAGTTGATTGAGAATTATATGTTCTTTTGCAGTTCGCACAATTGAATTGGAATGCTTAAGGCAATGCCACTGGGTCAGGTTTAATTCTTTTTAGCTAATAAATTATTTGTCTGTTTGTTTTGGTTATTCCCGTTAAACTCTCATCTTCTTTTGTTCTAGTTTACTGTTAAATCTCTTGTCAGTTAACACCAAATGCTCAATTTGCCTGTTGATTTGAATAATCTATATTTGTTATGTTATTTGATTATTTATTTATTTTTTTAATCAAGCACATTGTACCCCTGAAATGAAATCCGGACTTCATTCCTGGAAACAATAGAACACCACCATTGTGTAGAAGGTACCGTTTGAATTATTATTATTTTTTTAAAAAAATATATATATATTGTGTCAAATAAACCCAAAGATCATAGACCCTTGGTTTACTCTTTTAATCACTTTATTATTAATAAATTTTAGTAAAATAGATAATAAAAAATATATAAAAAACAAGCTATACAAACAAAAAAAGATAAGACCAGAAGACCAGAATTGGACTAATCCATGGGAAAAGAGAAAACTCTAAAACACTAGGGAGAACCTAACACGAGCAGGCCCAATGACTGGAATTGGCAGGCTCCAAACATTTTTGCATTTTCTTTCTTTCTTTCTTTGTTTTTTCCCAAACATTTTGGATTACATTTGGGGAAAAAGCCCAACCTCTTTCAAAGTAAATCATGTCACATGTTGAGCTCATGAATTTTTTTATCATGGTAAAACTGAAACTAAAATCAAGAATGAGGGACATTTAAAACAGTCACAGATCGAAATTATTAGCAGTAACATACCATTGCATGATCAAATCTTTTATAAGAAAGATAATGATAAGAATATAGTTGGCATGGTGTTCTTTCTACGCTACACACTACTTTTTGCTCTGCTTCTCGGTTAATAGATTATGTGATACATATTGAAATTATACATGACAGTCAACGGCCATCATCTAGCTCTAATGGTATAATGGTTTGGTTCCTCAAACTATCATAACCAGCTGTAGTGCTAGTGCAGCTGAAATCCAACGGTTCACCAAGCAGGTACTCGGTCTCCTCTTGATTTACTTCAACACTGGTCCAAAGGTGTTTGTTCACTCGCATTAGCCCCTCAAGCTCCATTGCCACTTCAGTCATTGTTGGTCGTTCCTCCCCCTTCAATCGTAAGCAATTCTGTGCAAGATTAGCAACTTCACGTACCTGATCTACATTACCCTCATTCACAATACGATTGTCTAAAATAAAGGATAAGCGATTCTCTTTCATTGAAGAGATGAAAAATGTGGCTAAATTTCTGTCATTCTCTGGCCGATCAAAAGAAAGCGGCATTTTCCCTGTAAGTAACTCCACAAGTACTACTCCAAAGCTATAGACATCACTTTTTTCTGACAAATGACCTGTATGAAAATATTCAGGATCTAAATATCCAAATGTTCCTTGAACCATTGTTGTCAATTGTGTTTTATCTAATAGAACTAACCTTGAAGCTCCAAAGTCAGAGACTTTTGTGGTAAAGTTATCATCTAAGAGTATGTTAGTAGACTTAACGTCTCTATGAATGATAGGTGTGGAAGCAGCTGAGTGCAAATAAGAAAGCGCACTTGCGGTTTCTTTGGCTATCCTTAGACGAATTTCCCATGGAATGGAGGATCCTTGGGGTACTTCATGGAGATGGTGGTATAAAGTCCCATTTGTGATAAATTCATAAACAAGTAAGGGGACTTCATCCTCTAAACAACAGCCCAACAGTTTAACCACATTTCTATGGTTGATTTGGGACAGCACAACCACCTCATTAACAAATTGCTCAATTTGACTTTGATCAACTTTTGTAGACTTCTTGATAGCAACTATTTTGTTTTGGGGTAGAACTGCTCTGTAAACTGTACCAAACCCTCCTCGACCTATGATCGAACTTTCATGGAAGTCATTGGTTGCGTTCTTGAGCTCTTCTATGCTAAAGATTTTAGCTTTCTCAACTGAACTGTCCAGCGCTGAGAGCTGTTGTTTTATCATTAAACCACCATTTTGCTGAAAAAATCTTTTTTTATACTTAATGAAGTTTCTCCTTCTCTTGATCCACCAACATGACAAAGAACCTCCCACAACTAACACCACAATGGTTACCCCAAAACCTGCAATCAATTAAACATGCAAATTAAACCACAACTAATTAAGGAAAGCAATCATGCCTCATATTTGAGTAACTAATAACTAGTACTGTATTGCAATTTAATAAACGGTCATGTTACTCATGTATTGATCAGTTTCTCAATAGTTGAACAGAGTTTCACAAACGTTCAACACAGGTGGTTACAAGCTTTATTAAAGTTTATAAAATTCAGTCCATCTTACCTGCAGAGAGCTTTAGCCATAATTTATTTGAAATGCAACCTTGGCCATCTTTTCTGCCATCCCCGTGATACCCTCTTGGGCAAGTACAAGTAAAAGTCCCCTCTTTGTTTTGACAAACATCCGTGCACGGATTGAGTCCAGGAATTGAGCACTCGTTGATATCTGTAAACGACATAAACAAAACAAATATATGAATTGAGCATTACTGTGTTCCTGGTGTTGGTGTGGTGTGTTTGCTTTTTTGTCGAATTCTTGATTTTGTTCTTCATTTGTGGTCATAACATTTACGAGTGAATTACATATATATATGTGTGAATATATATACCTTGGCAACCATTTGGAAGGTAGGGGTTCCCCTGGTAACCTTGAGAACAATGGCAGCGATACCCTTTACCATTAATATTTGTGTCATTGCAGATGCTATTTTCCCCACATAAGTAGTTGCTTATATTCCTTTTGGCTTCCGCACAAGTTTGATTGGGAATGGCCCAATCAAGCACCATTGGCATCCTCTCAATGTTGCTTAAATTGGAAAGATGTACCCTGGAAAAGTTATACAAGCCATTTTCGACAACAAAAGCGAAGCTGCAGGGATTGAAGTCCACAATATCTGTATGGTTATTGAAACTTCTGGCGCTCAAATTAAAATCCGTGACTCCTTCTGGGATTGTTGTTTGGCAACAACCGATGCCAGAGCATGAACCACTGACCACATCATCAATAGCATCACACAGGGACATGCACCCGGTGGAGTACTTAACTCCCAGAGAACCTCTCACATAGGCGTAGGAGTCACAACCTATGACTGTGAACTTGTTTTTGGCGTGTGAGAGGGGGAATATGGGAACTCTCACCCATGGTCGAACGCGGCGAATCAATCCACCCGATTGGTTATAACATACCACGGCTACCTGACTGGAGATTCGCAACTCGCCATTGAGTTCTGATATGTTAATAACAGGTATGGTGGTGTTTCCTAGAAATAGATTGTTGGAGTCCTTACAGGTTACACGGAAAGCTCTTCTGAGGTAACAACTGTTGGGAAACGTGCAAGTTTTAAAAACTTTTCGAGGGATTTTGATTCATAGATCTTGATTCATCACATAGAGACAAGTTTTATGCAAAAATAAAAATAAAATATGATGTATTATTCAACTAAAAGATTGAATACTTACATCAAGGTTTGAGTAAACCTCAGATCTCTCCTCTAAAGTGAATGTTCTCACTTATTGTAGATCCCTTTTGCTAGACATCTTTTCCATGGATCTCCATCTTCTTGGTAATGGTCTTGCCTTTAGGAATCACTCATAAGCCTCCTTGAATGACCTTGGAAAACTAGGCTTGTGGGAGCCTCCATTAGATGAGAACATAAACCCTAATTTTCTAGAGAGAGAAAATTTATTCCTTTTTCCTTCTCATAAAAATCACCCCCTAAAATATACATAGACCATGTATATTTATAGGCAACATAAAAATAAAGAAAAGGAAACAACAAATCATTCTCCATCTCTAATTCATATGTCTCAAATCTAATATGATTCCAATATCAAGTTGGGCTATGAGTGAGAATCCATTGGGCCTATTATTTTATTGGCTACAATGAATTAATAATTGGCCCGGTCCATGGACCCAATTCAATTAATTCATAAATTAATTTCTACTCCACTAAAAGAAATTAATTGAACTCCAATTAAATAATAAATAACCTCTAAGTCAATATTGCACTTTGACCCCTCTATGCATAATTAGTTATCGGATAAATATAGCCATCAATCCGACTACTTAATTAATATATTTATTTTGGTACCTTTGATTATTTCTGGTTCGATCACAATAAAACATTTGTTTGACAAAAATAATAATTTAAATAAATAAATATATAATAAATCATTTTGTCTAAAAACACACGAAGGCCTTCGAATTTACTTTGTGATCAACCATAATCAATACAAAATAAATACAAGTAGCAATGATGCAAATATTGAAAATATAACCCTCTAACTATTAATTACATAACTACCCAAAGTGTCGGTCTAAGGATCCCGAAGAATCCGCCGAACAAATCAAAGTAATTATTAATTAATAAAAGAGTCTATACTTTTCTCATGCTTAAGAGTCAAATGCCATGACAGTGATAGGGAGTAATTGCATACGACGGCTCTCGCAATATATCTCAACCTAACGCGGATCCAGTTCAAGTCTTAATTAATTATGAGTCCATCCATAATTACCGACTATGAACAATTTATAATTACTATTTATATATCATGCACTGATTGTCATCACATACATATATATAAATATTTCTTGTAATTAACTGGACACTATCAATTTCATAGTGAATCGAAACATAATACATTGAATTCACCAATTATATAAATCATAAATATTTCAGATATGTCAGGATCATATGTCAATACAATCCAGATAGGAATTTGCTATGCCAGGGCATATAAATCCCAACAGCTCCCACTTGCCCTCATAGCCAATTCAAATTGCACCTAACTCCAATGTTATCCAGATGATGATCAAAATTATTGATCAATGACACCTTTGATAATGGATCAACAAAGTTGTGTTCCAATGCAATGTTCTAGTTATAAGTACATTTTCTTGCCGGACAATATCATATAGAACATGATACTTCCTATCAGTGTATTTTGTTCATCTATGGAACCTTGGGTAATTGGTTTGGACTACTTCTGCACTATTGTCGCAATATAGCTCGATAGGCAAGCTAGTATGCTCCACAACCTCTAAATCAGTGAGATCAAACCAATAGGCTTATATTGCCACTTTTAGGTTTGAGTCAGCAGTTGAAATCTGCTTAACAATCTACCAACTGATCTCCTTTCTATTAAGTGAACTTACACTGAGTCATGAACCTCATAGTATCTACTTCTGATTGAAAATCAGAACTAGCATACCTGACTAGGACCATATCATCACATCCATAAATGAATATGATATCATTGATTCTCCTTAGGTACTTAATGATATTTTTCACAATAGACCAGTTGTCAAGTCCAGTATTGGACTGATCTCTACTGACTATCCCTACTATGTAGCGGATGTCCTGTTTGGTATAGACCATGGCATATATGAGACTCTCATATGCCGAAACATATTGTTCCAGTCTCATTTGCTCAATCTCCTTTGATAGTCTTGAAAAACTACTTACTAGAGAGAGCCATCCATATCAATAAAGCAAGAACTCATTCTTTGAGTTATGCATACCAAACCTGGTCAAAACTTTATCAATGTAGGATTATTAAGATAAGCCTATTTTCCTTTTAACCTGATCTTGCAAAAGCTTGATCCTAGGAATATAGCTTACATCTTGAAATTCCTTCATTTAAAAGTAATTGAACAACTACCTTTTAATTGATGACAAAACTTCCACGTCATTATAAATGAGTAGGATGTCATCAATATATAGAATTAAGAAAAATAATGACATTCCCTTGTACACTCATGATTTATTCACTAAGAAATCTTCTGGTATCTTTTTGTAGATTAACTTGCCTTCCATAGGAATCACCCTACTAGAAAGTTCTACAAGATCCCAGAATTTATTAGAATACATAGATTCCAACTCTGATTTCATAGTAACTCATCAAAACGATCTGTATCCACATCGGTTCACGCTTTCGTGTAGCTTACTGGGTCCAACTCATGTTTAACAGGGATGTCCATAATGGTCTCACCTAAAAACATGATTCTGTCGAATTGGATGATAATCCTCCCACTACATCAATGTACCGATGCAAGAATCTGTGTAGTAGATGATGCTAACGCATCAATAGGGAATTCATATATTATTCTCAATCTCTATAATAAGTGTGTTCACATGTAGTACATCTGGTACTCATACCAAGTTCTCTAACATTATGCTACTAGGTATGTGATTCATAATATGATTCCCCTATAGATAAACAGTGAGTGAAAACAATCAACTTTTATCTTTGAGATCATAAAATAATCCATCCTAGTGACATTTAGAGTAGCTAACAAATCTAGCATGCCTATGATCTGATTCCAACTTACTTGTCCATATCAAACGCACGTGTGCAAGACTACCCCATATGTGCATATGATTCAAACTAATATTTAGTCAAAAACACAGCTCAACGGTATCCTTGAGACAGACTAAGATGGAATGCAGTTCATAATGCGCATCGATGCCATTAACGCTAAACTCTTAAATGAAAGAGATAATGTGGCATTACTAATCATAGACCTAACCATGTTAAGTGGAATTCTGTTATTCCTATTTGACACCTAAATTAATTTAGCGTCAATTGCGGAAAACTGGTACACAACACCCTCATTGACCATATAGTCTTTGCACTATCCCAAGAAATACTCAAATACTCGATCAGATCGAAGTGTCTTGATAAGTTTACCTAATCTGAGCTCCACATCAGTCTTGACCCTCTCGGAATATACCAAAAGTATAAGACTTGTGTCGCAACAGGTAAATTTATCCAAAACGTGAGTAATCTTGATTGGATGTTCATAAGACTACACGTGTACGTGTGTACCGACTCCAATTGTTCTTTATGTCTATTTCATTTGGCTGATTAAGCCCTTAGAGTTATCTATCCTTCAAAACAAGATTCACAAGTTTGGTTTAGGCTCCTCTGCCTCACTAGGTAATAAACCTTCTTTAACCAATCTTTAAATCTCATTTTGATTGATTACAACCCAAAAATAGACACCAAAAATACAATGAGTCAGGAATAACAAATGTTCTCTTAACATTTAATCTAGAAGATGCAACATTAGTTTCTACATCCTGCAAATCTTAAGAGCTTGTGATTATAATATATTAACCATTTTTCAATGCACCAGAAGTAATCGCATATCTATTCAATTTTATAAAACCAGTTTTACAAAATAGCAACACAGTTTTTATAAACCACAAGTGAAACAAGAATAAGATAGCGTCTAACTTCTGTGCATAAAAATAGTTCTCTAATACTAATATCCTCATACTCTCTATTTTCAGATGTAATACTCCCACTGACTTAGTTACAACCTTGGCATCAGGTCAAAAGATAAATATATACCCATATCATCAAGGCTTCTGGATTCCTGAAATCCTTACAATAAATTGCAAACATGTTTAGTGGCTCCAGAATCTATCCATCAGGAATCAATAGATACAACCACATAACATGGCTCAATGATTAAATATATATTTTCTTATGCCACGTCATTGCTTAGACAGTTTGTCCTTTAGTGTCTTAGTTAACGGCAAAAGAAACAGTTTCATTCGCCCTCAACATACACTGCCTTATTCCCTTTAACCTTTTAGATACCTATGTTTTGTGCTAGCCTAGTCCTATTATCATCCTTCTTCTTTGCTTTGCCCATCCACTTGGGCCTAGAAGAAGATGGTATAGACTAGGTTAGATTGATAGGAACGCCCATACTCTTGATTATCCCTTCTTCTGTTACCAATTCTATAAGAATATCAGCGAGTGTGAACTCAAACTGATTCCTTATTTAGTTCACTCTAACAGAGTCGAATGAGTTTGGTAACAAGGCAATAATCATGTCAACTTGAAACTTACCACCCAAGTCAGCCTTATTGATCTCCAGCTAATTTTTAAATAATAAACAATCATTTTCCAAAATTTGATTTCAAACTGGAGTTCATCAGGCTATCTTGATGGTATTTAAATTTGACACAGTACTTAGGCATATGCTCTATTTAATCTCACCAAAATATCTCATTGACATTTAATATGATGCTTGAAGAAAATAAAATAATACAAATGTTAGCTTTGGAGTATATTCGAGCTAAACTCTAGAATATTGCACCAAGTCATATCATTTGCCTTATCTAATTTATTAAAAGCATTAATGTCAAATTTGGTATCTCAAAGTAAAAGAGATAGGTATAGGAGTAATAAACACATTTTGTACCCTTACGTTGTGAATAAAATATCTAAGTTCATTTTCCAGTCATTATAAATAAGGTCCAATATCATAGAATATGTAAGCAAGTAGATAAACTGGATTAAACA